TCGTAGACAAGCAAAATCAGATCTCGTTTCGTTTCTCTTGTACTGGAACTGTTGAGCCTTCTGTCTTGAACTTAGAAAGAGCTGCACCTGCTCTGATATGTTCCTGTCGGGAGCAGATCTGTTCTACATCAACAAATAGACAGGTCGGATCCTGGATGGGATAACTGATAGCTTGGCATTCATGTGATACTCGAAAGGAATCATAGGTCAAAAAAGGCAACTAATGAGCAAAATTCTAGACCGCTCGCCTTGTCCCAGACTCGACGGTGAACGTTTTATAATTCGAGCCGGCTACTAGTAGTATTTCTCGAACTGTGACGTGTTGTTGATGAAGTTCAGGGAAGATCGTGCTTTATGGCTGCGTTAGGCCTGTCTAGTCTCACTGGCCAGGAGGAGGTACCGGTCCAGGATTATACAAAATAACGCGTGGAATCTGTCAAGAATTGGGAACAAGAAGATGAACTGCCCCAACATATCCACTTTCGCGATGGAACTTTACTTCCTGCACCGAAATTCCTCATTTGATGATATTTTGCCATGGGAAGACATTAATTCTGAATTGTTCAGATTGGTACGCTTGTTGCTTGAGTGTCTATTGTTGAGAACCGAGATAATCGGTCTGCTTCACTTCATGGAAGTAATGCTATGATTAGTGGCATGTTCATACGGAAAATTGTGATGGACTTAAGATCCCCACACGTCACCTTTTCTTGTAGGTCACATCGGAGAGATTTTCGCGTCCCATCAGAATCACCAGGTCCTAAGGATGCAGCTACACAATTACATGTCCGACGGATGAGCTCTCACAAGCGGGCCTGACAGTTCTGAAGATATGATATGGAGCTCAACATTCGAGGATATGGCCAAAATCAGAGTGAAAACCATGAGAGACTTCTGCCTCACGAAGATGCACCGACACACGCCCTGGCTTGTCGTCAGATGGATCCCTCCACTGGTATACTTCGAAGACTGTTCGTGTTGGTCCTAGCGTTAGTAAAGCCCGGCCTTCCCCTCTGCATTTTTTTAAGCGCTTCTTTCAACACCTTCACTTTCCTTGATCACTCATAAATCCTTAGTACCGGCTGCACTCCTTCTCGGAAGCCATCGATGGGAACGAAACGAGAGAGTCTTAGACAAATGATTTTTGAAGTCAACGAGAAATGAAAACAAATCTACAAAGAAGAAGTGCTCACGAATTGGTGTTATCGAGGGAGGAGGTGCGGTTGCAGTTATAACGGAGGGGAAATGCTGAGGTGTTTATATGGCTGTCCAGAGAAAAGTCAAGGTGAGGAAGATCAACAGCTCTTGATTGAGTGTCCGTGACAATGATATAGGTTAAGTCTCAAATGTTGCACAAGAATTTTGTGGATTTCTAAATAAGTATCAGCCAGTTGTGATAAAGAACGTTGGATTTATTTCTAGCCTCACATACCTCGGCTTAGTTGAGCAGCGTCTATTCTCTTGTTCTGTGTAAGAATGTCTAACGAAGGGACGTCTTCCGATAAAGAAGTTTTGCCGGACCGGAATGGAGCAGAAGAAACTAGTGAGTCTCGTTTTATATATTGGCTTCGACTTTATCGGGTACCTTTGACTTTACTAATGTTCAGACGAGGACTTAGTGGTCAATGATTCCGAAAACGCTAGTGAGACTTCAGCGAATGGAACTGGCCTGTCGAAAAGTGCGTTGAAGAAGTTGAAAAATCGGGAGAAGTAGGTCAATTATGCGATTGCAAAGCCATAGAGCTTCAAGGGCTCCTTTCTAGAAATATCCTTTTTGAACTTAAAGCTCATCCTAGTACGCGAACATGTACCGACAATAC